AGGTGTCCGATTCGGGGGATATTCAATGATGCAAATATAAAGGGATTAAATAGATATTGTAAGTGATGTCAGTCCTGGTGTTTGATTCAGAAGTAGGGTTGCCAAAATGGACCGACTCGGACCGAAAGATCGAGTCATGCCTCGATGTTTGGCCCGAAAAAGTCTCGTACCGGCCCGACTCGATAAAGTTGGGCCCGAAAAAGACTCGTAACGGCCCGACTCGATAAAGTTAGGCCCGAAAGTGACTCGTACCGGCCCGACTCGATAAAAACAGGCCCGAAAAAAATTGTCTCGGAAAAAGTCGGCCCGACTCGAACAAGACTCGATAATATTTTTACCAGATTTGTGGACAAAAATGGGAGAAATCTGGCTCCTTGGCCTTCCAAAATTCGAAAATTTTCGCCTGCGGCGCTGAAAAAAGAAGAAATTTGGTCCTTAGCCTTCCGAATATCTCAAAATTTTTGCCTGCGTGTTGTGTATGGGCGTCAGCCCTTAAAGTGTTTACTATAAAAGCCAGAGAAAACGTCAGTCTATTGGGATCATACTAGCGAGGCTAGTCACTGATCTCCTTCGTCTGTCACATTCCCTTCGCCCACTTATTGTTTATTTCTCTTTGTGATAAAGTGTTATTATTGTGCTAGTTGACATTAGTGAATCTCGGACACTTCGGGACGTAACACTGCGGCGCTGAAATGAAGGATTTTTAGCTCCATACTTTGCTTCACATCTCGAACTTACTGGCTTTAATCGATAAGCTGGATACTGGGATTTATAGGAAATTTTTCCGCGGGATCCCATCATCATTTTAACTTTCGAAACTCAATCAGTTTTGAGAGTCCACAATTTTCCGCAGTCCGTAATTTTAACTTTAAAATACACCGTCGTAATCTTCAGTCCACAAGTCAAAAACACACAATCTTACGCAATCCGCAGTCCACCATCCGGGATATAAGGTGTAATCTGGGAATATAAGGCGGTTTGAGTGATTAAGTCAAGGGCGTATCCAATGGGTCCAAAATTATCAAAGTTTTCGCCTGCGGCGCTAAAAATAGAATAAATCGGGTTTCCTGACTTTCCAGTAAGCCCTTATCTAAATACGAATAGTTCAATCATGGTACACTGGGATTTTATTAAGGGATTTGGTGATTAACGCACGATATCACTTAAATCTTGCGTTATCCTTCAAATCTCCGATATCCATTCAAATCTCTTCAATCCTTTTAAATCCCATTACAGTATAGCACCTTAATTATCTGATATGCGATCCTGATCCCCTTAATCATCTGATCTCCTTTAATAAAACCAAATCTAGCAATATCTCACACCAATCCTCCGATAATTTAAATCACCTTAATCCCTCAAATCCACTGATATCCATTTCAATTCTCTTCAGCCCTTCCTTTACCTTCCAGATCCATCGATATACCTTTTAATTCACAGATATCCCTCCAAATCCACTAATTATTTTTAAATAAATCTTTTAAAAAAAGACTCGAAAATGTCTCGATGCCCGACTCGATAAAGTCAGGCCCGAAAGTGTCTCGTTCCGGCCCGACTCGATAAAGTTAGGCCCGAAAAAGACTCGTATCGGCCCGACTCGATAAAGTAAGGCCCGAAAAAGACTCGTACCGGCCCGACTCGATAAAATCAAGCCCGAAAAAAATGCCTCGACCGTCGGCCCGACTCGAAAACGGCAACCCTATTCAGAAGGAAGACGTCTCCCGATCCGAGACTCTCCTATATCCAGCGCTTGCCTATGTCTTTATTTTCAACACCGTAGACGAAGCTCTTGGACAGATAGACAAAATCTAGTCTTCAAAAATTATCGAAAATCGGAAATTTTTCCTAAATTTCTTAAATAAAAAGAATCTATCTTTCATTTTTGTATTTTAAATAATTTGAATTATAGGTTGAAATTTAGAGCCCCATGCTAAATTAGAGCCCCACCCTAAAATAGAGCCCCACTTTGGAGGATAGTTGAAAAATAGAGCCCCATGGGGCTTTATTTTAGGAAATACGGTATTTTAGCTAGTGATCATAATTTAAGTATGGAAGAAGTTAGAATGATATATACTTCATGGAGAGGTGCAGAAGCTTATCATATTTTTATGTTAGCTCACTCACATTTGTTGTAGCGGCCGGCAGTTAAGACAGCTTTAACACTTACAAATTATGAAGATTCTATGGAAGTTAGATTCTATGGAAGTTTAATTCTTATTAAGTAATTTGTTTAAAATATTTTTTCATATTTTAAAATCTTTAATTTCTTATCCTGCTGAATATTATGGTGTTTGTTCTAAAGCTCTCTTGATTTCTAAAGCTCTCTCTCTCTTCTAAAGCACTCTTGATTTCTCTTGATCATTTTTCTCATCTAATTAACAAAATTTTCCCTTTCTTTTTCACTTTTGGTAATATTTAAATATAAATTAACGAGTTTAAAATTAAAAATTTAAACTTATTAGTTTTTGGGAGTAAAAACGGGTTAAAATGGTTTCCTAAAATTGGATTTGAACCCAACTCCTGGTAAAAAATCCAGCTAAAAGTCCATCATATCAATCACTTAATCACACACTTCTTTTGCAAGGTTGAAAAAAAATTATATTTATTGAATAGAAAAAAGAAATCTTTTGTATAGAACAAATGTTAGAGAAAAAAGTATGAAAAAATACTTAGTAAAAAGTACGGAAAGAGAAGTAGAGAAAGAATATAGTATATATTAAAAATTAAAAGACAGAGAAAGATAAAAATTTAGAATAAAATGGATAAATTATTTTTTAAAAGTGTCGGTTGCTTCCCGTTAAATAATTCTTATTCTAATTATATTTTAAAGTTTGTTTCCTAATAATGAGTGTGTTGACTGTTAGCATATTGGCAATTTTATTTTTGAATGCCCGTTTTTACGGGCAGATATTTTTGTTCATAGGGTGTGAAAAAAACAAGTTTTTTTTGTTCATTAGGGGAATTCCCGGTGTTTGTATTTCCCATTTTATTCCCTTTATTATGAGAAATACATATTTAAATTAATTTAATTTTTCGTTTTAATTTTAATAAAAATGAGTTTGGAAAGCATAAAACGAAAATTTGTTGTTTTTTTGTTTTATTTGTAAATCAACTAAATTGTTTGGATGTGTGTTTGTTGAGTACTTCTGTTGCTTGTGATCAAGTATATCTAGAGAAAATTCAAAAAAATTTCAATTTTTAGGGAGTTTATAATGATGTGGAAATTGTCGGGGGAATTTGAGATAAAAAGATGGGGAGGGGGGGAGGGGGAACGAATTTGAATAGATTCATGAAAAAATTATATTTTTCACACTTCCTTTGTTGCTCTTGACTTCCAATAAATGGATAACTAACACCTGCATTTCTTTTCTCTTAAAACTAAAATTTTAAAATAAATACTTCCATCAGTTGGCCTCGTGATGTATTTGGTTATCACGTCAGTTTAACACACTGAAGGTCGCCAGTTCGAGTCTGGCCGAGGTCAATTATTTTTTTACAAAATTCAAAAGATAATTTCCAACTTTTATTTTACATACACTCAAAACAGACGAAGAAGCTTTACATAACAATTGGAAACCCCAAATCCTACTTGATGTATGATTCGAAAAATGTTACTACGCAAAATTTAAGCCTTCATATTCTGTCGGATATTGTAGTGCCTTGAGGGATTTGTCTTTGACGTTGTCTGGTCTTTTTTACTGAGAAATGGGAAAGGGAGCACAGACTACGATGGTCAGAGACAAAGGGAGGAGAGAGATCACAGCGTGATATCGAGCGGTATTTCTTCTTAATCCGCAAATTCACCGCAGCAGTAGACCGGCTGGTAGTGCTTTGCTTGCAAAGACTCGACTCTCTTCCAACATTTTTCCTCGCTCGGCTGGCTTTATCGATGCAATGAATGAGAGAAGGGCTAGAGACAATACTCTCCATTAAAATGTGTATTATAAATTAATCTCTCTTCTTTGAATTTCTCTTCTCTCTTTTATTAATCTACATTCTTTAAGATAAATTCCGCTCTTTATTTGTCTCTCCTAGAGAATATACACTATTTTTTGTTGTATGAAGGACAAAGAGAGTCAGACAAATAATTTTATAACAAAGATTGCATCAAATGCTGCTGTTTATAGAATGACTGTTTAAGTCTAAGTTAATTTAAGAAAATTTTTTGAAACTTTTCCTTTCTTCCATTTATTTTGAATTTTTAAGTGATTTAGTAATTCTAACATTTTGACTTTCAATTTCAAACAAATTAAACTTTCGAGACTAAATTATGAAATATTAAAGTTTTATCAAATAATACTCTAATGACAAATTCAAAATTCTGCTCACAATCCAACGGTGAGAAGAGAAAGAAAATTTGTGAGAGATTATTTCGGTAGAGTGCGCACATGAGTCAGTGTAATTCCTTTTTTCATTCTTATCCCATCGACGACGACTGCCTTTGCTAAAAATGTCTTTCTCCCTAGATGCTCACCACCAACGTACGTCCTTCCACACTCCTTTTCCTTCCCACGAATTCCTTCACATTCGACAGTCGTCCATTTTTGCCTCCACCTCCGCCTTAGTTTTGCTGGTTTGGAGTTTTACAAACGATGTATATCAACTATCTTGTTAAAGCATCGTGTGTTGTGGAATGATACACAGATTCTGAATAATTTGGATATATCAGAAGAGAATTACTTAAAGTTTGCCCTGACATATTGGGAAACATACCACTTATAATCCAAATTTCTGCTTTTTTTTCTTCACTTTTCACATGACTTCCATATTTAGTATTTATCAGTTTGTGTTGAGTTTTTTGGTCTTTTTTATATTTATCAAGTTTACTCTTGATTTTATTTTCTATTCGCCTTGTCTTGTTAAATTTCTGTTTAGAATATACTCTTTTCCTTTACTTTTCAGCCGTATCTTTAAAACTTGGTTGAGTTGCTGCTTCTTAAAAAAACTCTCCATTTTTTTATTTTAAATATCAAAATACGGAAATACTTTTCCATTATTTAATGGAATCTTTAAATCAAAAAGAAACAAATGCCGAAAATTTTAGCAATGAAAACAACAATCAACTTCAAGTTTCAGAGCAACAACAGCAAGCAAACTCTTTGACGGCATCTTCTTCGTTATTGGTTAATTTACGAAATAACAACAGAAATCCTGCACTCCATCCAACTAGAGAGGATTCTCCTTATCCTGGACGTGAGGAACTTGCAGCGGCTTCAACATTAAATTCTTTAGCTGAATCGGCAGCAACTGCATCACTTCGACTTCAGCACCAAATAAATTTAATGGCTCAGGTTTTTTTTTTAAATTTTTTTTATTTGGGATATAATGTCATTCAAAAATTTTTAAAAAAATTTTCAAAAACAATTTTCAGGCTATGGCCACTCCCGGAGTTACAGCTGCTTCATTTCCAATTTTACCAAATACAAATTCTATATCATCTTCTCCCCAGCCATTAACTGGACAACAACAACCTTCTATTGTTTGTGATTCAACTAATGGACTTTCTACAATGTTAGGTCATTATGTAGCTGCGGCAGCTGCTGTTTCAACTGCTGTTGCTATTCACCAACAACAGGTATTTCATAATTTAAAAATACTTTTCGACGATTAAAAACCTAATCTGATTAATTGGTTAGAATTAATTTTATAAAATTCATGAGAGTCACTTGTTCTAATTATTAATTCTAATTAAAAATCACTTCAAAACCCTGTCTTAATTTTTTTCAATTTTAGCGTCAAGACGTCGTCTCTGTATATAATACTTCCCCAAATCTGGTCACAAGTTATTCAACACCTCTATCAACATATTTTTCTTCACAGCAACAACAGTCAACAAATATAAATAGTTCAAATCAAATCTCTTCAAATTTTTCACAACAGCAGAATTTAGTTAATACATCTTCAAATGATCAACAAAATTGTATGTAATTTTAACAAATGTTTTTTTTTTAATTTTGCATGAAGGAAGGAGATATCAGCATTTTACAAACAGGCAAATTACCCACAAATTTTTTTCATTTTTATTGGCAAGCAAAATTGGAAATTATTGAAAAATATTTTTTTGGCTTTTAATGATTTTTTTAATTTTTTAAAAAATTTTCTAGCTGTACCGGTACCTGCTCTCTGCTCCTGCACCTTACCTTCCATGTTTGCGGCAGCTGCAGCAACATCTATGGCCGTTGCTGCTGCTGGTGTCTGTCCTTATCATCAAACTTCAATTGTTCGACCATTAGTCAATAATGATTTACAAATTGATTTAAATAATAATGCGGAGACAGGAATGCGTTCAAGAAATGAAAATAATGGAAATAATAATTCTGGTGAAACGGCAATGTTGGCACATGGTAGACAACGTCAAGCACAAATTTTTGTAAGAAATTCTAATTATTTTTTAAGCTTTTGTCAGTTTAATATTTTCTAGGGATTACTAATTTTTCTCTTCTATAATTTAACTTTCTAATATATTAAGCAAATTCCAAATCCTGGTTTTCAACAACAACAGCAACAACAATTAATTTCTTCACTCCTTCCTTCAACAACCACAAATTCTGTTGTTCCACCTATTGGTGTTATTCAACCAATACAACATCGTTCTCCTAACCGAATATCACGTTCTTCTGCTGGAAGTTCTTCCTCACTAAAACGTTCAAATACAACTGCATTTCCTCCAAATTTGGAAGCTGTTTCTTCTGCAATGTTGTCAGCTATTAATAATTCAAATACAATAAATGTTTCTTCATCATCTCCGCCTTTGCTTTTTGCGAATCCTGCACAAATTCGGTTAGCTACTGGAGAAGCATTAAATGTTGCTTTAGCTGCTGGAGGAGGCAATCAAGGAAGTGATGAATTTAACGAAGGTATTTAACGTTTCAGCGACTTTTTTTTATCCCTTTTTCTTAATTTTTCTGGCCCAAGTCGTGCTCCAAAATTACGTCGTATTTTGTCTTTTGATGAAGATGTGTCTGAAATAAATGAATCTGTCAGCCCAACAACTGTTCCTTCCATTACTACCATCTCAGAAGCAGATATTGAAGCTACAAGTAATGCTACGGCTGCCGCTCTTGTTCAAATTAGACAGCGAGCACAGACATTGGTGCGTTCACATTTTTGATGATTGTTTCCTCTTATCTTTAACCTCCATATAGTGCTGTAAAATAGCTGGATGAATCATCTATACAAAATTTAAAAATACTAATTTAAAAAATTTTAAGGCTGCCATTTCAACACCCCTCAATGAAGTCCTATCAATTGCAAACTCAATAACACCTAATGGGATCCAATCATCAGCATTAACTTCATTACAACAAAATCCATCTGCTCTTCCTTTACAAAACCAACAGGCTGCCGCTGTGGCTGTGGCAGCTGCTTCTACTGTTGCCGCAGGGATGGAACATATTGTAGCGGCTGCATTGAGTGCTGCTAATGCAGCATCTGCTCTTTCTCCACAAGCATTGGCTGCAATTACGGGTGCAACGGCAGCTGTGCAATGTGCTGTTTGTGCTGCAGCGGCGTGCCAGTCACGATTGGTTTTTGTTGATTTTTCTTTTTATCCTAAACATTTTCTTTCAGTCAAATCCCGGTGCAACCCCTACAGCTGTAACTGCTTGTAGTTGTCTCCACCACCATCATCACCATTTACATTGTCACAACCACCAAACACTTTTACCACATCAACCACCTCCTATTTGTACTCTTTGCAACTCTAATGTGACAAATGGTCCACCAACGCCATCTGTTATTAATAATCAGAACAACAACAATAGTGCAACAGTTGGAATTCAAGTTGATAATCCAAATGTTGGAGTGGTTCGACCTCAACAGGGATATTTGGTTTTTAAATTTTATCTTTTTATTATACTTTGTTTTTGAACTCCCGATAACCAAAATTTATTAATAATCTCTTTAGTGACTACATTTCCCACCATTTATTTTCCAAATTTTTTTAATTTTAGCACCAATCTCGTCCGTCAGCTCTCAGCCTCTGCCCATCTTCAAGTTCAAATCTAAATAGTTTGCTCAGTTCTGTTCCTTCCTTTGAATTACTGAATAGTGTAAATACAGATGAGTCTAATCAACAGTCACAAAGATTCTTACTAAATGCAAACAATATTACCCAATCATTTGGTCAATCAAATGGTGCATATCAATTGCTTTTGGATGCTTACAACACCAATAATATGCAAAGACAACAACAGTCGACTTCTGTAAGTATCGGAATAAATATTGGCTCCTCAAGTTTATCGACTTCAAATTCTTCTCATCAACGTGATCTTGCAACATCTACAGATTCACAAGGTCAGGCAATGATAAACTTACAGCAACAAGTTAATGCACAGCAACAAGCTATGAATTTACAACAACAAGTAATGAATAGACAAGCTGCATCTCTTTCACCTTCTGCTGTTACAGCAATGTTGTTAAACAGTGCTGCAGCTATGGGACAACAACAAACGATGCAAGCAGTTCCTGCCCAACAACAGCAGCAAATTCCGTCTTTGTATAGGTTAAATATTAAAATTTGTTTTTATAAATTTTAAATTTTTTTTAAGTTTGCAACGAGGTGCGACTCTTAACGAAACCAATTTGTTAGCACAAGTTCAAGCTCAACAAAACATGAACACTGTTCATCAAAGTATTTTGGCTATTCGTTTGGCACAGCAGGAGCGTGAAAGAGAAACAGCTAACCACTTTTACCAGCAACAACAACAAATCCAACAAAGAACGGCCCAGGCAGCGGCACAACATCGACATTTGATGCGGCCTCTTTTTTCGATGCCACAAGCCTTGCCTGTTCCGATGACACAAATGGATTTGGTGGGAAAACTGAGACTTGATTTAAACTTTAAAATTTCTTTTTCTACTTTCAGTCAAGTCTCGTGCTTCTACACAATCACCCTGGCGCTGAAACTTCATTAGTTCTTAATGGTGGTGGTTCTGCTTTATCTACTGCTACTAACCCCCACCATATTGTTGCAAATGCAATGGCTGCAGCTACAGCGGCTGAGCCTCAGCCAGGTTTTTTTAATTTTTATGAATTTTAATCTTATTTTAAAAACATTTAAAGTTGGTGCAACATTGGAACAGATCAAAAGGCACTCGCAAAAGCTATCCTATGTTGAAGATCCAAATACCCCGTAAGTTGTTGAAATTTGAAACTTTCTTATAGTTTTCTGTTACTTTTCAAAGCAATATATCCAGAGTTTCTATAATGGGTAGATCCTATTCACACCCTCGCAAATTTATCTTTTAGCTTTTAAATATTTTTCTAATCTTTTTATCTCTAACCTTTATTCTTTTATTTTAACAAAAATTATTTTTTCTAGTGAGCAAGAGCGTGAACGTTGCACAATCTGCCTTTGCGAATTCGAGACTGGGGATGAATTGCGTGGTCTAAACTGTGGACATCTCTTCCATATGGAATGTATTGACCCTTGGTTACAACAAAACAAAAAGTGTCCACTCTGCCGTGTTGATATGGATAAAGGAATTAGTGTGCCAGGAAGTAGTAATGCTTTGGTAGGTGTTGGTTCTGCTGCTGAAGCTGCAGTTATTTTAAATGCTGCTGCTTATGCTCAAGCTTCTGCTACTTCTAGTACAGCGTGTTAACTTTTGTAAGAAAGGAATTAATTTAAAGGAGTTGGAAAGAGAAGTTTTTGGGGATTTTTTATGTTTTTTCAAATATTTTTTTTGAAAATACGGGGCTTACAAATTAATTGTAAATATAAATGTTTTTTTTTAAATATTTAAATTTTAAGATTTTTGATTTACTTAAATTTTGAAGCCTCAAATTGTTGTATTTTTATGGAAATAATTTTTTTCTATTTATAAAATCTCGGCTTAATGATTCTAAAAATTATATATTAAGTAAATTTTTTAAAGTTCTATTATCTTCGTTTTTCTATTATAAAAATTAAAGGATAGTTTCTCCCTTTTATTTTATTCATCCCGGCGATAATATTTTATAGCCAAGAATATTTTAATCTTTTTAAAGAGGTTCCTTAAAAAGTTGATTTTTTTTAGGTATTAATTACTTAAATTGTTTCTGTAGATTCTTTTAAAATAATTTAGATTTATTTGAGATTTTATTTAATTTTCTATAGCCTATAAAATTGGCTCTAAAATATATTTGTAAATTTAAGTTTAATTTTAAACTTACTAAAAATTAAAGAAGGTTGGAAATTATTTTTTTTGGAACCGCTCAATAAGAATTTCATTCTTTTGTTTATTCAAATATAATTCTGAATATTTTTTTACTAGAAAAAATTGTCTTTCTATTGAAATCTAAATTTTTGTGTAATATATTTTAATCAAAATTTCAATTTTTTAGAATTAGAATTTTTGTAAAAATATTTTTTCTAAATTCATTAAAATAATTCGCCAATACATTTACATAAATTCACATCTCTCTTATAACCTTTTTATATTTGTATTAATTATTCCTTCAGAGCCTTTATGGCTGTAAAATACTAGAAAACAACAACAAAATTAGAAATTTTTTTTGTAATTTTGGTTATCTTTTAAATTTTAAAAATCTATTTAAATTAACCACACATTGCTCTATTAATTTTTCGGCAATCCCGGAGAATTGGGGTCCCTGCGAAAAAAAAGTTTAAAAATAAGAAAAAGAATTTTTCTAGGGTAAAAAAACATGCTGATTACGAATCCGAGCTCAGATTTTGAAAAAGTCGAATCCCGAACCCGAACCAAATTTCGAACCCTGAACCCGGATTTCGAATAAGCAAATGATAGCTCGTTCGAAAGAGCTCGTCGAGCTGCATCGAATGACACCAAAATCAGCGTGATTGGACCTGTTTAGACTAAGTTATGATATAAAGTATACCTATGAGAGTACTGTAGGAGTCGGCGACTTATGTCATAACTTTGTCAAAACTTGATCAATCACTGTAATTTTGGTGTCATTCGACTCAGCTCAACGAGCTCTTTTGAATGAGCTATTATTTGTAAAAACTTTTTTTTACTCCAAAAAATCACCGATGTGTTTTTTCAATATTCCGGGGTCTGTATCTCGGTTCAATCCGGTCGGATTTCATCGATTTTGGTGTCATTAGATGCAGCTCGATGAGTTCTATGATTCAGATGAAAGACTGGCCATTTTATACAATGTCTGATAATGTTCGGGGTCAAAAGTCATGTTCGGGATCAAAAGTCCGAATTCGGGTTCGGGATTCGACTTTTTCAAAATCTGAGCTCGGATTCGTAATCAGCATGTTTTTTTACCCTAGAAAAATCCTTTTTCTTATTTTTAAACTTTTTTTTCGCAGGGACCCCAATTCTCCGGGATTGCCAATTTTTCCATGTCATTTAAAAACAAACAAAAATTATTGCTCTATTATAGCTAAATTGTTTAATAAAAAATTGCTTATTTTTAATTATTTCCCCTAAAATTATTTATCCTTAAAGTTGCTTCTTTTTTAAATTGGGATTGTATAGCTGTGATTTGTGAAATAAAAATTTAAAAAAATTTGTTTTGATTTATTAAAGATTTGTTACTTCAAAAAATTGTTTTTAAAATTATTTAGTTGGTTGTTTAACTGTACTTGGTGAAAAGTATTCACTATGGATAATCTAATTCAGAATCTAAAACTTATTTCTAAAAATACGTGTTTTGGTCATTCCGTTAGTTGGTAATTCCGTGACTTGTCGTTCAGGGAACTGTCTGTTCCGTGATTTGGAATTCATCGAGTTAGCCTCTACCCGTTAGAGCTTCGGCGGAAGTTCCGGTTCCGATAGGCCGGAAGTTCCTGGATTTTTTGGTTCCGGTTTTGGCTTTCATTCCGGTTCCGGTCCTTCAGTTCCGGTTAAGCCGAAACTTTTTAACACCCCTAAGGATTGATTTCTTATTTTTTACATGGACGAAATTAGCCACATGGCTTCTAAAATTCTCAAGATTTCGTCTGCGGCGCTAAAAAGATCTGGCTTGTTAGCCTTCCAAAATTCTCAAAATTTTCCGCCCATTGCCTCCCACCCCCGAAAAAATCCTATATGGGCCTGATCGGAATGTGTCTTTTCTACATAGTGAAGAATCTATAAACCAAAAAAGAACGAGACTTAAAGAAGAAAACTACCATCATTTATACTTATACTGAATGATTTACAGTAAAAATTTTTATTAAAAATTTTTTAACAAAGTCCGGTTCCGTGTCCGGTCAAATTTTCTGTTCCGGTTCCGACCAAATTTGCGGTTCTGGCAAGCTCTACTACCTGTCCTATTAACCGATGTTTGTTTTTCTTCTTTTGTACAGACAAATACTGAAGATAAAAAGTAAGAAAATATAAGGTAAAATTGTGAAAAAACAATAAGAGTAGAGAATATGTTTTATGAAAATATTAAAGGACAGAGAAAGAAAGAAATATAAAATATAGTGGAGGAATTCTTATTTAAAGTTATTCATTTGCTTCATATAATATATTTAATTTTCGATACTTTTTTTAATCTTAGTTTTGGCGTAAGTTTGATCTTGGTCAGTTGTGGCATTTTATTTTTGTATGCCAATATTTATTGGCAGAAATTTTTTTTCCTAGGGTGTTAAAAAACAAGTATAATTTTTTGTTTCTAGAATATGTTTTTTTAGATTCCCGTAGTTCTGTATCGTTAGTTGTTACTATTTTTGCCTTTGCCGCTTTAATCCTTCAAGAAATATTTAAATTTTTAGTTTTTAATTTTAAAAAATGAGTTTGGAAAATAAAATAATTAATGCTAGTACTTCAACAACTACAGAAACAATTGAATCCTTGCCTTTAGAGCAGACATGCACGAAACTCCAAAATTTTTTCAGACGAAACGAAACGAAACAAAATTTTTTAAAAATCGTTTCGTTAACGAAACGAGACGAAACAGTAAAAATTTAGCGAAACGAAACGAAACAAAACGAAACATTTTAATTTTCAAAAAATTTAATAAAAACGGTTTTATTTTATTAATTATTCGATTTTAGACACGTTAATAGGCCAGTTATGGCCTATAATTGATCTAATAGCTTAGTGGGACCTTAACTTTTGGTCCCAGGCTACAAAATTTTCGCGTGTTGACTCATAATCCACTATATCAGCCTTAATTCCACCAAATCGACTTTAATCGAATTATGTGTTGAGAATATGTGTATATCAGGGACCTGCCGACCCGTTTCCTGATTCCCTAAAATCGTAAATTAATTTTGTCAGAAATTCCTCTAAACCCGTTCCTGATTCCCGACATTTTTTTAAAAATTTTAAACCCTACAAATCCACCGATATCCCGTTTACTCTCTCCCAATTTCCTATAACACCATTGATCTAGCCAAATCCAATGATATTTCTCAACTCAGATTTTTTGTTGATAACAACGTTCATGATTACAACGTTTATGATAGATAACAACGTTCATGACAACGTTCATGATTTATTAAAACTAAACTTTATTGAAACTCTTGCGCCTGCCCTGATTGGCATTAAGAGGTAGATCGATTCTATATGCCTAATCTAGCATAGAATTTAAGCTTTGCATATTAAAAAAACAAAATCAAACGAGAAATTCAAAAAAATTATAGTAAATTATGCGCCGTAGGCGCTTAAAATCCAGATTTCAGCGCCGCAGGCGAAAATTTTTTTGAATTTTGATCACCAAAGGGGAAATTTTTCAATTTTTGGGTAATATTTTGGTCTGAAAAATGGGTAATGTTTCGTTAACGAAACAGAGGTGTTTCGTTAACAAAACGAAACGAAACAATCCAAAAAGTGTTTCGTCACGAAACGAGACGAAACAGGAAAAAACATAACGAAACTAACGAAACAACGAAACGAAACGAAACGTTTCGTGCATGTCTGCTTTAGAGGAAAGAATGAAAAGATTGGTCCTCAACAACAAAACAAAAAATGTTCACTCTGTCGTGTTGATATGGACAAAGGCCATCAAGGGTATCGAACCTAGTTAAAAATCGGAAACATCCACGATCACTAACCAATAGACAATACGACCTACATAATATCCTCATTAAATCGTGTATTTTAGTCAATGAGAAAAATATATTTTCTGAATAGAATCATTAAAAAAATAAGATCCAATATCAGCGGAATGTCCATAAAAATTTTAGCATTTTTTTCGACTTGTTTTAGCGTTAAATTTATTTGATACAATACTTTTTTCGCCTAAAATCTACGTTGTCTGGGGGAAATTAAAAAAGTTTATGTTCAATCAACTCTTTCTCAATCCCACCAATTTATCCTAGAAAGAAATTACAGCCCCGCAAGAACAAGGCAATTCCAAAATTTATCCCAAACAGCCAATCATACAAAAGGCTGGATTTTTATATACCTCAAACTTGGGTATTTAAACCGACGACTACAGCAAAAGCGCTTTATACAAGCAAAAAGAATTTATAAATTTCAGACGTGATATAAAATAAACAAAATATTGCAATAACGATTCAGAGACAAAGACAACCATACAAACACTCTCTTCTTTTATCGTTTCTCTAATTGTGTGCGCGCTCTTTAGTGCTCTTTAATCCAAAACAAAAATGCCCAATTGGAGAAAACTAACGAATAACCTAAACTAGCGGTAATTACAAAACGGTCAGAAGGACAAATTATTTGAATATGTCACATTT